AGTTGTCTCGGTGTGTCACGCATTTGCAGACGCTGTAGAACTTGTTTCAGGTTACTGTGTCTTTGAACCTATTCTCCTTCTGATCCAAGGAGGGACTTACGTTTATTTTCAATGGAAAGAAAATAAATCAACCCTTTCTGTATGATGCAATCAAAATTCAGTAGGACATGCATCTTTTTTTATTTATATGATCTAACATTTTCCAAAATTTCCATGTCCTCTGAATATGCTGAACTCTGCCAAATGCTAATTAAATGCAAAAAAATGTAAATTTGTAGAATATTATTAATGTAGAATTTTATTAAATATACAGAAAATGGAAGAAATACTTTAGACAGAAGAGCAAGACGTAGTTGTAAATAATCTTTGCCTAAATTCTAGATGTTCCTCATGCGTAGTTTTTATTTACCAAATTACAGTTAATGCATTTTTTAACACAGTGCTCATAGCTAAAGATCTAGAATTCCATTTGCAAGAGGATTTTATTATTTTCCTGTTTGATTTCAGTCCATTTCACTTGGAATCAATTATTTTCAAAATTACCAAGAAATAGCAGCCTACATTTTCAGCAGCCCCAAGTGGAGGGTTTTGGTAGCTTGGTTTATCTCATAATCAAATCTTTCAATGTATTAAATACCTAATGGTCTGGGTGGGTGTAAAGAAGTCAGAGTCAATCACATCAAGGACAAGAAGCAATGGCCACAAACTGAAGCATAAGAAATTCTACTTAAACGTAACTAGATATGTTCAAAAATAAGTAGATATATTCAAATACTGAAGCAGATTGCTTGTAGGGCTTGGGGAGTCTCCATTCTTGGAGATACTCAAACTCTGGATGTGGTCATGAACGATGTGTTCTAGATGAACCTGTTTTAGCAGAAGAGTTGCACTAAACATCTGCAGATGTCCCTTCTAACCTCAAAAATTCTACTATTCTAAGAATAATCCATTGACTCCTGTAAATAATTTGAGCTGTGCAATTTTTTCAGGGAGGAAGATAACTAATCCTGTGCTAAAGATTACAAGATCTGACTTCATCCTTGGAAAGTTCTTATTTAATTATTCTTGCTCTTGTTAACAAAAAATATACTTTATTCCCAATTTACACTTGTGTAGCTTTAACTTCTAAGTACTTGATATAACTTTTTTTCAAGAGATATTAAGGTATGTTAACTATTACTATAACTATAATGATTACTTTCAATGGACTTCCAATACCATTCTATGTTTCATAAAAAGAGAAGGAAGTGTTCTCATCTTTCAATAAATTCTAGATAGTTGGTGATCCAGTGCCATCAATTTGTCCCATGAAAGATGTAAACAACAACGTCTATGTTTATACACACAAAATATGAACATACAGGTAGAACACAGCCATATATGCCAAAATGTTCTGCAAGAAAATATTTTGCATTATAGGGATTCAATGGATAGCAGCTTCTCCCATGTTTTTGTAGTATAACATATATGCACCCTGTCTTGGTTGAGAGGACAGCTGAGCTGTCTCCCAATATTTTCAAAAATTAGGCTATCAAATTGGTGCAGTGGTTAGCTTTGGAGCCACTAGGCTGACGGGTGCCTAATCTCCATTGGATTTTGAATTCTCAGAGTCAAAGGCCATCCATTTAAAGGTAATGTATGTTCTACCTCAATTCCACTCTATCAGGTTCCCTGAAATGCTTTAGTTCCTCACACGATAAGAAATATATCAGTAAAATGTAGGAAGTTGTAGCTTTTCCAGACCTAAGGTTCCTAATGCAAATCACAACCATTACTAAAAGGTTTGTATTTACTGTGTCATGGAGATGCATGTAGACTATAGCCTTGAATCCAAACAACTGGTTGACTATATTTTGGAATTGTTTTCCACACACAGATATTACACCATAGTTTTGAGAATGTTAATTCACTTTTTCCATTGGTACATCTTTAATTTTCTTGTAAAGTTCATTATAAACTTAGAAATGTAATTGCCCAGGTTCTATTACTATACAGAAATAAGATATAAATTAAAGAATACTCTGTGTAGATCAGCACTCAGTTTTAACCTCTAGAGACTTATACTAACCAAACGATCTTTCTTAATGGTGCTTATAAAGCTCTTTATTGTCTCAAATTACTGTAGAAATATTAATCAACCAGTAAAGCAGTAATTTAGAAAGCAACCCAAGGTGGGGCTTTTTTTTTTTAAGAAAAAAAAAAAAAAGCTTGAATCTAGTAAACAACATTTTAAAAAAATCCAGAATTAATCAGAAAAGCTTTTTGTAATGAAAATAAAAGACTACAAAATTAATTAAAAAAAAAAAAAAAGCTGTACTTTCTACTGATGTAAACTCTTGTTACTGTATTTCAGTTCAGAAAAACTTCAGTCAGTATGGCTTCAGAAGAGCTACACTTATGTACAAAACAGCTGAAAAACTGGCTTTGCTTACTACATTTTCTATTTATTTTTCTCTTCAGTCTCAAGTGACTTCTTATTAAATATTATTGTCCTGTTTTGGCACTTAGTTGTGATAACATGAAAGCAATACAGATAAGAAATTCATTTGTTAAGGATGAGGGATTCTCCTAATTGGAAAGGAATAGTCCAAAGAACAATGTTTCGTTCACATGGGTTTAATACCTGACTGGCTTGATAAGGTAAAAAAGACTTTAAAAAAATCGAAGAGCTGCCAAAATGTAGGCTTCACAAACCATAGCTGAATTCAGCTGAAGTCTATGAGATTCTATTTTCGATTTCAAGAAATATACAATTATCCTTTTAGCACATAAGATGTAATTGGCTGTAATCTACTCAAAGGCTTAAGTATTGTTGTGCTATAAAATGTATTTGCCATCATGCATAGGTCTTTTGGCCTGCAGACTTTTCACTGTGTTCTTAAAATGTGCTGTTACAGTAATACCCAAAGGGAATAGGTCAAATAAAATACATTTAAAAATGGTCTCTTTTTTGGTCAATTACTTCTTGTTCTTTGACCTAAAACTGTCCATACAACTGTAAACCAGTGCAGATCAGAAGTTAAATTGTATGAACTATAGGATATCCTTGAGACTGAAAGGGCAAACAGAAGTTTGAATGATTGCACATGTTCATGTTTGTGTGTGAAAGAAAAAGAAAACCAAGAGCAAGAAAGTAGGCAAATGAGGAATGACGAGTTAACATACTTGGGAGGAACTCAATAAATATAAGCTACAGTTTCATATCAAAATAAGCAGTAGCAATACCAGCTTAAAGTATTGCATCTTCCTTCTTACTGTGACTATTTCTTCATATTTCCCTACCATACCCCCACCATAGCTGTAAAGGAGAGGAAGGGAAGAAGAGAAACATTAATTGAGTCAAAAAAGTCTAATTTTTTATGCTTTATGAAATAAAAAATACTTTCATTTTTCCAAATGACTGACTGAAAAGGAAGACTTCTTTTCTGAAGCTGCCTCCTGTTCATTTTTTTTTAATGTGTTTCAGTCAATTTAACTTCGCACAGCCTATTGCAGTGTGGAGAATACCTGTGGAACTGAGATTCGGTAATATAGTCTTTTAATTTTCCACCAATATGGAATTGTCTGGTTCTTTTAGCTTTTAAATAGCTTTATATGTGAAAAGACTGAGTTATTGGTAGTTCAGCTACATATTTTTGAAGTTTAGCTCTAAGTTTCTTTCCAAGCCTGCCTTCTTAAGTAGAAATAAATTATAGCTTTAAATTATTAAATAATTAAAAATGAAATTATTTTCAAAATCTTGTAGCCAAAAGCTAGTAAGTTAAGAATTCACGGTTTTCTAAATACTTCTTCTGGTTTAGGAATGGAAGGAACAAAGAAAATTACAAGAACTAAATACAATTTTTTAAGAATATTTTTTCTGATAACAAACCAAACTTTCCTAAAACAAAATAAGAAAACTCAAGACATAGACCTCCATGCATAAGTACCTGATTTTTAGACCAGCATTATTAGCTGATAAGTACACATTTTAAAATGCAGGAACTTGTTTGCAAATATCTCTGGCAGAATGTGCAAAGTCTTCAGACCATTGGTGAAAATGAGAGTTGGGAGAGGAAAAAAATTAATTAATAAATTCAGCAGTAAACAAGAGTATCCTATTCTATGAATAAAGAACAAGAAAAATTAATTTAACCTATGCTGCTGATCAAGGTGAATGAATAGGCAAGAATGTATTTTGTACTGGATATATGAGATACACAGGCTCAAGTAGTACAACTGCAGCACCTAGAAAGGCTTTCCATACAAGTTGTAAAACATGGCACTACAAGCTGACATTCGTTTTTACAACATAGTTGTTTATTAATATGCTACAGTTTTGATGCATAATAAAACTCCTGATTTAATTCACTGGAGTCATTATAAAGACCTGTGGAAATGAAGAAATGAACACCTGTTCATCAACACAAAGTGCAGACTACAGCTGCAGAAACCAACTCTCAATAGATTGCAAGACTCAGAATTGATTGCTAGTGTTATGATTTATCCCAATGTTAATGGAAAAAGCCTTCTAGAGTGGACTGAAGGTACTTCTTTTTGCCCATAAATCCAGATGTAGAACTTACCAAAAAATTAATTTTTTTTTTTTTTTTTTTTAAAAAAAAAAAACGATTTTCCTCTTGGCCCAACACTTCAGTCAATTACATAACTTAAGGCAAGTTTTTCTTTCAAATGGGCTATAGATGTAAACAGATCAACTTTCTTTCAGAGATGAAAAGTTATACTGTGTAATGACCTGAGAACTGCAGTAATAATGAGCAGGAAGGAGAAATGAGTGTTTTCATGGGTTAACCTCAGTCACAAAGAGGTAGAACCCCCAAATTGTCTATGGCTTGTGGTGTCATGATACATAGGGTGTCAGCTGGCATGTGGGACCTGGCTCAGCATGGTGTATGGCCAAGCAGGGCACGGCTGTGGCATTTCATGGCATCGCTGGGGCAGGGGCTAATGGCCCCAGGCTGGGATGAAACTGAGTCCTGGCCCATGGGCAGGGTATGGGGATGCCCTGGGAAGACTGGGCAGTGCCCCAGGACCTTACCTACAGACGGAGGTAAGTCCTTGCGGATGGGAATTCAAAACACCTGAATTAAGCTACTGCTCTAAATCACCAGCCAGGAAAACAATGCCGCTCTATGCACTGCACAGGAGCTTAAAGTGGGCTCAACCACAGTGTCTAACATTAACCAACTATAAAATATTCTAGTCTATAAAATAGTCCAATTGGACAAACCGCATTAGAGACAAAAAAAAAAAATTGGCAGGAAAATAAGTGAACATGAGACTCAAATGAGACTAAAGAGGCTTCATTCTGCTTCTAAATGAAAAGCAGATTGCTCAGTATAAAGTACAGGATGAGAGGAAAATGTATTCATCCCAGACTTATTTCTTAAGTCCCAGCTAAATAGTGCTGCTGGTGGTACAGTGTCAGTGGCTTTATGGGACTCAGCTATAGACATCTTCTCTCCAGAAATGCTGGTGAGTAAGGCACTGGGGGACTGGGAGAAGGGGCTTCCCAAAGCAGGTTTTTGGTGGGCTTGGGAAACCCAGATGTCTGCTGTTCTGGCCACATGGCATTTTGCTTTCTAGCAAGCAGCGGACAACCAAAAGCAAGTGCTTCACAAGTGCAATGCCTTGTTCAGTCCTGGTTCATCCTGCCATCAGTGACTTCTCATGCAGAAGTGACACACACATAGAGACTTCACACTCTTCCTGGTGAAAGACCCTCGTAACTCATCATGACTTCTCCACCCCCAGTCTTCTTGAGGAAGGCTGAAACTGTTGACCCCAGGGCCCAGAGGAATGCCAGAAGGAGGAGCACCACACAAGGGAAACTGAGACTGGTACTAAGAA